GCCTCAGCCCCGCGCCCGCGCACCCCCACCCCTGTGGGAGTGGCACATGCGGGGACGGCTCCCCCCCCCTCTGGTGTGGGGAAGGCGCAAAAAGGTCCTCCGCGTTCTTAGCGTGGCCCCCATACGGAAATATTTCTCGAGCTGCGTCTGCGACGTCGGCAGGGGGGAGAGGGAGGTAAAAAGGAGAGGCAGAGGCGGTGGAAGAGGTACTGATCTCGGCGGCACTGGCAAAGCCTCGCACCTCACGCGATGTAGATGGCGTCTGTGCTGGTGTAGGCGCAGGCGACGCCTCTGTAGTCAATGCAGGCATCGCACTAGCTCCTATTTCTCCCTGGGCTTCTTGCTCTTGCTCGTCTGCCCCCCTTGCCGCCTTTGAACGCCAACGACTCCACTTCCTTCGCCGCCTTCGACCTCGTCGCGATGTCGTACTGGAGGCACACTCCCACTGCGGCCAGAGCACCTTTGCGCCTCAACATCTTCAGCGACTCCTTCAACTCAGGGTAGTGGTTCACCGCGAAAATCCATTTTCACTCTCCCGCCTCCATGCTCTCCTCTTCGTTCTTGCTCTTCACCTTGAAGCACCTCGTCGCCGCGAACTTCAACTGCGGGTCCTGCACCATCTTCCCAAACTTCAGAAGCTCGTCCAGCGCGGCCTTGGCGGCCTGCGGTTCGATGCCCTGCTCCACGGCCGCCAACACCGCGTCCTTTTTGTCCTCCACGGCCTCCGACATGCGAAACAGGACCGCCCTCGCCAGCGCGTCTGGCCGCTTGCCTAGTTGGTTGCCCATGAAGTCCTCCTGCCTCTCCTTCGCCTTCTCCTTGGCCTTGGTTCCCTCTTCCTCGTAGTACGCCACTGCCTGGTCCAGCGCGGTCGCCATCTTCTGCGTCGGCTTGAGCGGGCTCACGAAATTGTCGCCCCTGTGCGCCGACCTCGCCATGTCCTCGTGCTGCAGGACCAACCGTGAGAGCGCCTTGGCCAGGGGGGCCACCACGTCGGGCTGGTCGCCTTTGCCCTCGCCCGCGACCCCCGCCTCTGCCGCCGTCCTCGTGCTCTCGTTGCTGCCCGCCGACACCTGCACCTCGCCAATCGGCTTGAACATCGCACACTGCAGCAGGTACGGGTTCGGTAGGGGGGGGGGAGCGGGCTCAGGTGGTACTGACTGTTTAGCTTGAGCCTCAACCTCTCTGGAACGGACCGCGCACCGTTTCTGTTAAATGTGCCTCACCAGCGTGTCTTTTCTCGTGAATATCTTCTGGCAGTGAGGGCGTGCCTTTAGTTCCAAATCCATCTCTGCGAGGGCTTCTGCTGCTGGGTTTACGTATACTTTATGGGCCGCATGTTTGTGATTGGCTAACCCCTTTTCCCCATTGCATTTTTGCCCACACAGGCTGCGCTCCAGCCACACGGTGGCTGCCGTGTCAGTAACAGCGTCCATCTCACCGCCATAAGTCAGCACACGGCGGAAGCTGCGCGGCTCAAGGGAGGCGAGCCAGCGCAGCCAAGGCTCTGCCAGCCCAGGCGCGTCGCCGTGCAGCTGGAAAAGTCGACGGGCCGCGAGTCGCTCCTGGGCATCCGCAGCCTGCCACATCTGCCTCATGTCCTCAAGCAGCACAGCGACAACAAGCCCGACTGCCCCCCCTGGCCGATCTGTTCGAACGAGAAGCGCCCACAGATGACCGCTCGGACCGCCAGTGTCGGGTCGTACATGTCATCGCTGGGCTCCCTGAAGGCCGGCCCAAACACCTTTCTCCACCATCTCAGTCTCCTCAGTAGCAACATGCCCTTGACCGTCGGCGTGCGGGCCTGCTTCCTGATCTCGCGGTTGGTCTTCTTGTACAGGTGAGCTGGTGAATTCAATAACCCTCGAAGCTTTTTCACCTGCCAGCTCCCCAGCCTGATTAGCTCCCTCTTGGCGAGGTTGGCGGTCTCCAAGCAGCACAAACACACCGAGCGCACTAGTGCCTTCCATAATCTGATCTTCAACTTAAAGCTGAACCCACTCTTGAATGCGCGGCGAAACAGGCGCGCGCGAGTAGAGCTTGCGGCCCTGATGCGGTTGGTGACCTCCACGTGGTGTGTACCCGTCGCCGCCAGCTGCGCACCCAAATACTTGACCGTTGGTTGTGGGTGTAGTGGGAAGTAGTCGTCTCCTTCCCACGTCACAATGCCTGTGTTCTGCGCGCGGATGTCCTTCAACCTTTTCATACTCCCGACTCCCGTCGGCGTGAGCAGCATCTCGGTCCTCCTGGTGTTGGCTCGCATCCCTCCTGCTTTGATCTCACATTGCAACACCTCCAGGACAATGGATGCATCGTCGTACTCCTCGATCTCCGCGAACGTGAGCAAGTCGTCCAAGAACTTCAGCTGCGAGACATCCAGCTCCTCGCGCTCGTCCTCCGTCAGGCCATCGTTGCTCCGAATCTTCTTCAACGAGGGGTCGAAATGCACCTTGATGGCTGTGATCTCCTGCTGGCGAAGCTCGTTCGATATGCGATAGACAATCTCATCATAGGCTGCCACAAATAGCCCAAGACTCTCAACTCCTCCCTGCCGCACTCCTTGTTTGACCAAGATCCGTGCCACAGGATTGTGGGTGGTGACGTCTCTGAACAGGTAACACATACCTTCATGAAGCTCCTCCAACGTCACTCGGGCATCCCACCGTACTCCGAGCGCCTCCAGACTTTTCCAACGATTTTCCCTGACAGCCCCGTCGAACGCCTTCTCGATGTCTGTGAGTACCGCCAACAACATCGGCGGAGGTTTGGATGAGCCCCCTCTCATCGCAGCATATGAAGTGACTTTGGCGTACGCCTTCCCCACGTGACTGATCAAATTGATGGTCCTATAGTCCTTCGATGCCGAGCAACCGTCACCCTTTGGTTCGCGCAGCTGCATGGTTTCGCCGTCCTTGAACCTCTGCGGAGCGTCACCCAACGACTGAGCCGCGTTAAAGACCTGCAAGATGGGCGGCGCGAGCATGTCAATAGCCAGTTTCCAAGATTCGGCAACAGCTCCTCCAGGCGGCCCCACCTTTGGCCACCTCAGCGTGGGACCCCCCTTCAAGTTGGGCAACTCCATGATGCTCTCCTTTACCTCCGCCAGGTCGTAGTCACCAATCCTGTCGTCATCACGCACATTCCTGCCCGCCTGGTGTGGTCTATCATCCAATTCCATCGCCTGGCCGTCACACACTTCACAGATGCTATGGATGCGTGCGCGCTGGTCCTCCTCTGCGTCGAAGCACGGCAGCCCTGTCTCTGGAACTGTTACTGCCATGATGGGGGCTGATGGCTTAGGAGCTAACGTATTCACAATGTTGTGGAGTCGTGTCAAGTTCCTCTGTCCAGCCGCTCGCTCAGCCTCTTCCGCCATTGCTACCGCCTTCTGCCTTTTCTCACTCCTGATAGCCGCCGTCGCCAGCTTCGCCGCCCCGTCGAACCTCGACTGTTATTGCGCCCGCAGCCACCGAGCACCAGCAGGAAGTGCCGCCATTTGACACTGCCAGTACTGCTCTGTCCTGATCAACCTCAAGGTCTCGTCGCTGAACACTGCGCCGACCCCCTCCCCCGCCACTGGTGGTGAGATATAGTCCTGCATCGCCGCCTCGATCACAACTCCCTCGAGCTCATTGAAGTACTCTGATGGGGACTCGTATCGCCTGCCTGCCCCGCAGATGTCAGCCCAGTCCTCCTGGGGCCCCCTGGCCTCGAGCCCCTCCCCGACCTTTAGTCTGAAGTTGAGCACGCGGTCGGGGAGCCCCACTTGGTTGTCCGCCTCCTCCTCCTCCAGACGCACCTTCAATAAGTCTGCGCACATGAGTTCCTTGCGCCATCGAAACTTGCCTGCTTCTTTGTCTTCACACCTGCAAAAATGCGCGACTCCAGTGGCCTGTGGTCCCTATAGCCGCCCAGGTCCACTGGGAGATCGGCCCTCGGGTACGACGAGTGCCCGTGCCCCCCTCGTCGTCTCACCAGCACATAGTCAATTGTGGCCCACGTACCTTGCGGGCTCCTCCACGTGTCATTGAATCTTCCTCACTTGCCGAACGTGTTCAGCGCCATGAGCCCGTAGTCCTCCATTAGGTCCATCAGCGCGTGGCCGTTGGCGTTGATCGCTGGCCCATTCCTACGCACACCAGCAAACCCCACCCAAGGCAGCAAAGGTGGGACGTGCGCGTTAGCGTCCAGCGTGACGATGAGCGACGCCCTGACTGGTACTTGGCCTACCGCTCGGCGACACACCTGCCAGAACAGGTCTCTAGCCTCGAGGTGCCTCTCTCGGTACTCCATAGCTTCAACTCCTTTCGGCAAATGTCCAGCCTCGTTGGTGGGGGCGTGGCCGTTCAGCACGTAGATGTCCCGCTCGAGCCTTTTCTTGCTCATACTACGAAGCCGTACTCCCTGCAGCTTGCCTTCCAACCATGCGTGCTCACACCTGACCTCGCCTTTCTGGAACTACTGAAGATTGATGGCCGTGAGGCATCCATCACGCTGCCCTCGTCCTGATCTCGCCAGCGAGTGCACCTCGAAATTGCCCGACTTCCAAGTCTTTCCCAGATCCATATGCGTACCTTGCATGGTGAAGATGGTCACGCTCTCCTTTCTGGCCAACTCTAACAGCTCATCCAGTCTCCCCACGCGTCGTAGCGACTCGACGTTGAAATTCCACACCTTCAGTGTTAGTTGCTTCCACGTGGCTCGCTGTTCTTGATGTTCATCATCCCTCTTTGCCCTCACCAACCCACTATCATCAGCTCGATGCGGCAAGTGAGTCAGCTCCGCGACAGTCTCTGGAGTGACCATCTGCGCTGCTGAAGCACGCATGATCCTCTGTCCACGATACCATGCCACACCTGCCACCAGCGCGAGCCGCGCTGCTCGCCTCAGGGCACACTTGCCGCGCATCGCCCGTACGCCCTTTTTCCAGCAACCACTTCGGCCCAGCCCGAAGTTGCTGGCCTCGCGGGTCGGGCACCCCGCGAACGCTCACCTCGCAGTGGTCCGTGAAGCACTCCCCCTTCACCACGTCCCCGCTGTCCACATGGCGCGGCCGACTAGGGGGCAAGCACTGGCCAGGACTTGCGACCTGGCACGACCGTCGCTGCGACGCAACCGTCTTGAGCCGTCAAGGCTTGACGCTCGCTTCCGCGGGCTTCCGCCGGCGGAGCCGCCCTCGCTTCGCTCCCCGCCGAGGGAACGGTGTCCACTCCTTCGACGCCCGGAGGGCGAGGCCCCTCCCAGAGCGCTCCAGGCCAGGGCGCAGGGCAGCCCAGGGGGAGAGGAGGCACCCCAGCACAGCAAGGGGCAGCTCCGACTTGCCACCGCTCTGGCGTCTACTTCCCGTGCGTTGATCGGTCTCGGGCGCGCTTCTTCCTCAAGGCGAGCCTAGATGCTCCAAGATGGTCTAGATATTCTGGCGGTGCCCCCCGCCGGGAAAAGCGCACACGTCTGAACGATGCCCAGTCGAGGTCGCCGTGGCGAGATGCCGTCGTTCGGGGGACCCTGGCGCACGACGGCGAGGGGGATGATGGGCAAATGTTCCACAACCACTGCCAGATGCAGGACGGGGGATAAGGGAGGATGAGGAGGTCCTCCTCCTCCTCCTCCTCCTCCTCCTCCTCCTCCTCCTCCTCCTCCTCCTCCTCCTCCTACCTCTCCTACCTATGGTAGTGGTGGTGGAAAATGGGCCCGTCAGGGGAGCCTCGAGGCAAAGGTGCGCCCTGGCCCAGCGAGGAGCGGCTCGGAGGCCGCAGCGGCGAGGCGACGACCAGACGTGCCTTGGCCAGCAGGGGCAGCCTCGAGAGGGGGTGCCCCGAGGCTGGCCAGGGCAAGCGGGAAGGGGCGCGGAGAGGCGCCGCCGCGAGGCGGCGGCTAGGGGAGCCTCTGGCAGAACAAGGGGAAGAAGGGCGGCCTCGAGGGCTGGAGGGCTCCAGCGGGGGGGGGGCAGGGCAGAGAGGGTTGGGCCAACCCCCTGCGTCAAACCCAGCTTCCAAAGGCCGAAAAAGGGGTGGGGGGGGCAACGCGGAGTGTGGGCCAAACCTCTTGTGCCAGAGCATTTTTCTTGTGCGCTGTCTCCCATGGGCATTGTTTTTTGTTCCCGCTCGGACCTGCCCTTCCACCAACAACCCTGGTCATAATAATGCGCTTCATCCCCCCGGTCTGGTTGCATGGTTGCCGCACTCGCAGCGGGGCGCCTGCGTGGCGGACGCCACGGCCGACGACGGGGGTCCTTCCCCTGCCGCGCGTGCTCGGTCGGCCGCTGCCTTCCTTCTACCGCCCGAGGCCGACGCTCCGCGGGGCCCGCGGGGCCCCGACCGCTCCAAAGAAGGGCGCGATGGCCCACGCCCCCGGCAGTTGGCCCCACGGAGGAGGGGGGCGGAGGGAGGCAATGAGGGGCCGTATGAGGAAGGCGAGGAGGAGGAAGAGGAGGAGGAGGAAGAGGAGGAGGAGGAGGAGGAAGAGGAGGAGGATGAGGAAGAGGAGGAGGAGGAGGCGGAGGAAGAGGAGGAGGAGGAGGAGGAGGAGGAGGAGGAGGAGGAAGAGGAGAATGACGAAAAGGAGGAGGAGGAGGAGGCTCCCTCGCGGCTGTTGCTCTGATAGGCTTGACTGAGGCCAAAGCGACCGCGCGGGGCCCCGCCCTGTCGCACGTGCTTAGGCCGGGTTGTACCGTACACATGATCCGTGTGCTGCGATCTTCACGAAAGTCGCACGGATCACCATGCGGGCTTGTGTGTGATATCATTCCTTTGGCCCTTTGGGACCTGGTCTGGCGGCACAGCAATGTGGACCTTTTGTTGCAGTGGGGCATGCCTGCGATATGCTGGGTATTATTTGGTTAGCATCTACATAATTACGCGGAGTTTCGTCGTCCTTTCGTTTTCGAATACCTTCTGAGCTGATTACTCGAGCTGGCACTGGCGCCGCTCCAGCTCTTGCGCAGGCGGCGGGGGTGCAGCGACGACTACATGACCTGCGGGCCTTTTCTCCGTCTGCGCGTCGCTGCAGACAAAGATGTTGGCCGACCGACAAATGCTATTTTGCTTGAGGAAAGGCCTTGATAACTCCGGCAAACATGGGAACGCATGTATGGGGCGTAACTCCATCTCGGCAGTTCGGCGTTGACTACCGCAGGTCCATGGACGATCCTGCGTAAAAAATCGCATGCCCATGATGATGTTTGCGCTCGATGTGGAGCTGCAGCGGAAACTGCGGGACATCGGTTCTGAGACTGCTCTTGCATAGTGACGAAGCGTGCAGATATTGATCGCGCATCTCCTGGCATCCCATGGATTTCCTCCCTGCCTTGCTCGTTGTGGTCTTCTGCGTGGTCGTGACCACGGCGCCCATCTTGATCGCACACTTGCAATTTCAACATATGCCGGTGAATGCTGCTGCTACGCAGGCATTCGCTGATCGCAGAGCTGGGGAACATGTTGTTTTAGATATCTATGGATATTATTCGTCCCGCCTTGCCGCCGCAAGAACGGATCAAACGACGCGCTGATCCACGCGGTCACTTTCGTGATGCTCGGCCACCCTTAGCAAACATCGTCTGCACATGTTCAACAGACGGAACCAATTGTCATACCTTGCGGTCGGTCTCCTCTTGTGGATGCCGAACATGCTGCATCCAGCTGGGGCTTTACTGTGGCGTCTCAATCACGGTCCACATTGTGGGATTAGCCCCACCACCCTCGAACCAAACTGCCCGCATTCCAGCGGGGCCTTCCGCCATCCGAGCAACGCTGGGGCAATACATGTCTTCTTAGTTGGTACATCTTGGGTGCATGGTCATGTTCACCACCATCGTCATCAGCTTCCTCCTGCGCCTTCGTCACATTCCTCTCCATCAGAGACTTTGCAAGCCATAATTGAATATGATTCCGAATCGGCTGCTGGAGTGGATCAACGGCTTACCCAGGCAAGGCAGACTCTTGGGTCGGTCCTGAAGGTTCGCCGCGTGGATCATGAAATGGCTCAGCATGACATCTGGCGGAAAGTACAGCCCCCAGCTGGCCAACATCTCAATGAGCGTCTTGATCCCCTGGCGAACTACTGAGGGGGCAGAGAATCTCGTTTGTAATCCTGTCGACGTGCGCTGGTGGACTAGGCCTTCGAGCTGATCTGTGTTTCTTCATGGACGGGTCGCCCTTGTTTATTCCACATCTCGCTTGCATTACTTTGCCAGGCGTCCATGGCGCCGCTGTTCTTTGCGTCCGCGCCCGACCTCGTCTTCCGAACCCAATGCTCCCACTTGACAAATGATTTCTGTTCTGGTAGGTTTCGTTGATTAACAGATCTGGCATCTTCGAGCAGTCCTCCTGCCAGAAGTGGAATCAATCGCCCGCGTGACACGCAATGACTCTGAGAGCCGTGGCCGGCGTGAGAAAGGTAGAGGATGCGCCGATACATATATACTCAGAGTTCTCTAAGGTTCCAACCAGGGCGCTCCCTCAATTGCAACATCGTTCAAATGCTCGGGATTGACTGGGTTCATGGACCAGTTCATACTGCAACACTCGCTACGGCCAGGAAACACTTGTAGACTTGTTTACACATCCACCTCATGCAATCCAGCCACTGTGCCACTCTAATCCCACCAGCCCTCTGGGCGTAGGTGGTCTAGAGCAGATCCTCTTCCACCCCTCCCTCTTCCCCCTTGGGGAGGGGTTTACCCCTCCCCCTACCCCCTCCCCTGGACCTGGACGGGGGGGGCCGCGGGTAGTTAGAGCGTCCCAGATGGCCCAAGACGGCTCCAAGAGCGCCTCAGAGAACCCAAGATGAGCTCCAAGATGGCTCAAGATAGCGCAAGATCGCTCGAGATGGCTCCTAAGATGGTTCCAAGAAGCCCAAAGACGGCCCCAAGATAACTCCAAGTGGCCAAACAGCTCCCCAAGGAGGCCCCGAAGAGGCCAAAATCGTCCCAAAACCTAAGGAAAATCAATGATTTTTGCTTTCTCGCCTTTTCGCTTCCGATGGCCATCCGAGGCCTGGAGATGGTTCCAAGATGGCCCAAGAGGGCCCCAAGAGAGCCCCAAAAGAGCCCCAAGACGGCCCCAAGAGCGCCCAAGAGCACTCCAAGAGCGTTCCAAGAGGGGTCCAAGAGGCGATTTTAGGGGCTTCCGAGGGGGGACGCTAATTAAACCCCCCCTCTTGTTTGATCGATCTCCTCCAAGATGGCCCCAAGAAGCGCCCAGGAAGCCCCAAGAGGTCCCAAGATGGCCCCAAAATGGCCCCAAGAGGCCCCCAAGAGGCCCCCCGGAGGCCCCCAAGAGACCCCCAAGAGGCCCCAAGAGCCCCCCCAGATGCACCCAAGATGCTCCAAGAGGCCTCGGCGAGAATGCCTAATCATTGATTCTACACAGGTTTTAGCCACATGGAGGCCTCTTGGGGGGGGGCACGGATTAAGATGACTCCAAGAGCGTCTGGGAGAGCCCAAAATGACCTCCAAGATGGCTCAAGATATCCCAAGATGTCTCATAATGGCTTCCTCTGTGTGCTGCCCACTTCTCTGATCGAGGCAATTCCTCTGGGCATCGTTTCTGGATGGGCTGGTGGGGATTCGCGAAGCGACAACAATTTCGGTTCCACCCAGTTTGGCATAGGTGCGCACCTCAGGTGTTTAGTGCATCCTATTGTAACCTGCTTGTTTGCGTGCGGCGGTGAGCTCGCGTTCACCCTTTCCATCGGATTAGCCTTTAAATGTATGGTAACGGTTTGTCGCACTGTACTTGCCTACCCTGGCCGCTGAACAACCGAACTGCGTCATCCTCATCCGTGTTTTCTAAGGCGCCGTCAAGTGTCTCTGAACTAAGCATACAAGTGGCCTGGGTGATTTTCGCGTTTCGGCGCTTACTCGAGCTTGTTGGTTGCGCAATTGGCCAATCTACCCTCGAAGAGCTCGTTGACTGGCTTCGGTCTATGCTCCCCCGCTGCTTCAGTAAACCCAGACAAGAATATGACAAACACTTTTGTGGACGTCATTCTGCCTCGTGATATGGTCCGCGATTTGTTCCTCCACATACGCCGATGCCGTCTTAAACCGAGATGGTCGTTTCGCCATCAGCGAACATCCCCCAGCTGGCTACGCCCAGCAACTCAGTGCTCATCTTGGTCGCTGGTCGCCATTCTCAAATAACGTGTAAGTTTTTTTCGTGGTTGCGCATTCGTGGACGTGGGCAACGATGTGCTCCTGCACGATGTTGTCACTCGCCTGCAGCAAGGTTCTACTGTATTCCATGAACGCTGCTCAGCAAAACTCGCGGAATCAGCCAGTGCTAAGCTCTAGCCGAGTTGCAGCAAATGCTTGCGTGTTCAATTTAGTGGGGGGGGGCGGTATGTATTCCCGAAACCTTGTCCCGGTACTGCCATCGTAACTGCGCTCGGGCACCATGCACGTTTAGCATGACTCTAGCGCACGACGATCGCACTGAAATGCGCAAACGTGACATTCACAGCCTGTCGGCGGCTCAGTACGCTCGAGCTCAACAGCGATGACACTCCCCAATCACTGAAGGCCTTCATTCTAACACACCCCCTGCCCTGCATTCTCTCCTGTTCCTCCCCCTGAGTAACCAGCCTCGACGGCGCCCCCTATCGAACGCCCGCGCTCGATCCCCAGGTTGCACGGCATGCGAGGTGCACTGGCGGGGCTCCCAGAACCCGGAGCGGCGTGCCCCCGATGAGCAGGAGTGGCATACAGCGCGACCAAATCATGAGGCCCTTGAAGGCCCAAGTGGAAGCCCAAACTGGAAGCCCATGGCCCCCTGCTAAGAAGGAGGAGGAGGAGGAGGAGGAGGAGGAGGTGCTCGGATGGGCCGAGATGCAAAGGTGCAAGGGCAGCCTTGGAAAACTACTCGCCCTTCTGGCGCCGGTGGACTGTATCCCAGGCAAGGCTAAGGAACGACAGAGAGAGCGTCGCTCCCCAGCGGGGGGCGCCAGCACGATCAGCAGGAAGATCACCCCGTAGGTGATGGGCCCAAGCAGCGACAGCACGATCATCAGGCCGAGGGCCATCCAGAACGGCAGCAGGCGGGCCTCGCGTGGGGCCGGAGAAAGCTAACGCCTCGTCCTTCTGGGCGGGGCGAGGGGGGGGCAAGGGGAGGCCAGCGGAAACTGCGAGTGCTGCTCGTCCGTGGCTTCACTTCAGCGTGTGACCCAAAGACGCTCTTCCAGCCAGAAACGTGGGCGACAAAGTCGGAAGAGAGGGCGAGACAGGGATTTGAGGAGTGAAGGACGGATGAGGGGAGGAGAGGGGGTTCGGCGTAGTACCCCGAGACAACAATGATGCTGCCCTGGAGCAGCACACGGCACGACATCCCCCTGGAAAAATAATGTACTAGAACCATCGCACGCGCTTCGCGCGCGCTCAGGTTCTCTTGAATCCCAGCTCGCCGTGATATGTCGACGATTGAGCTACGGTTTCGGATGTGACTTCAGCCCGAGGGTTCCCCCCTTCCCCTCTCCTGGCCGCGGTTCACCCCTGGCCCTTCCCAGGTGACGATGCTGAGGGTATGGATGTTCAGGATTGCGGGAACGATGATCGATGATGTTTTGGATGACTATGACTATGTGCTGGCGTATGATGAGAACGGTGGTGATGGTAATGTCCACGACGATGTGGATGACAATGATGAAGACGATGGAAAAGATGATGACAAGCATGAGGACGATCATTGGGGCGATGATGGCGAGGATGACAGTAAATATCGCGATTATGGTAATAATGGCAATGCGGTGGTTGATGACGACGGGCATGATAATGGTGATAAAGTGGCATGCGGACGATGACAAGGATGAGAAGAGTATTTGGACGACAACAGTCATGATGGCGGTGGCTATGACAAGCATGCCCGTGCTCATGACATGGAAGATTTTGACGAAGCGCATGATGATGTCTATGGGTGGGCTGTGGCCTCGGATATGACTGTAACCCAAGACGTTGCAAACATAGGTTGTGTACAGCCCTTCCCGGAGTACGGAGGCATCCAGGAGGACGATGAATGTGATGAGGGTGGGCTCGCCAGGCTCGGGCCCGCTACGAGGCCGCTGAACGGCCATGCTTCAGAGCTAATTTGAATCTATTTGGAAGCTTTTGAGGGGTGTCGGGGGCCCGTGTGGTGTCCGACACCGCGGGGAGTGTTCCACCTTGGACGATCGGCGACCTTGAAAGCGTTCAACCTTGAAAGCCCGCGCCCTCTCAGGGGGCCTCTTGGGGCGTCCTGGCGGCGTGCTGGCCGTCTTGGAACTGCCTCGGGCTGTCTCGGAACGCTCCTGGGGCTCTCGAGGCGACTCCTGGAGGCGACCTGGGCAATCCGCAGTCTGGAGGCTGTCCTTGCCGGCCGCGGGACGTCCTGGGGCCGTCTCGGAAAGCCGAGAAACGCCCAGGGAGACTTCGAGAGGGGCGGGGGCCGCTCTGTTCAAGCACCCCTTTCTCCGGTGCCACGGGGTCGGAACCTCCCTTCTGAGTATGTCTGCCTGTGTGTCTGTCTGTCTGTCTGTCTGTCTGTCTGTCTGTCTGTCTGTCTGTCTGTATGCAAACACAGCTCCGTCAATATATGTTTATATATATAGGTGTATCTACATTTATACACATGTATGTGCGTATGTACACATATACGCACATGCATGTGTACACATGCAGATACAAGCATATGTAAGTATGTATGCGTGCATACATACATACACACATGTATACATACATACGTACATACATGCATACATACATACATGCATACATGCATGCATCCATACATACATACACACATACCTGCATACACAGATACATACATACATGTATATATACGCATATACATACATACATACATACATACACACACATACATACATACATACATACATACATGCATGCACACATACATACATACATATGTCCATACATGCATCCATACATACATGCATCCATGCATGCAGATGAACATACAAACATCTGTACACACATACGTACGTCCACGCATATCTAAACATGCATACACATCGATACATATATATGTATTGACATGTACCTATGCGGATCTGTAAATGCACCTAAATACCATATACATAGACATACGCAAATGCATGCGCATACACACGTACACAGTCATATACATGAACACGTCCATATACGTATACCTTCAAATGTGATATATATATATATATATATATATATATATATGCTCGCCCCCCCCCCCCCCCCACATGATCATACACATTCTCCCATCATCCCTCCAGTCATCATAACCCGTTCCTTCCTCCTGTTTTTCTTCATGATGGTTTGCTACGTTGCAAACCGCAATTCCGTCGATTGCAATCCAAACACTTCAGCGCGAAGCGACTTCAGTCTTTCGCGGCGCATTGCAATCCAATCTCACCATCTCATGTTTATGATGCCCCTCCTCCTCCTCCTCCTCCTCAGCATCCTACTCCTTCTCAACCTCAAGCTCCCCCTCCCTCTCTTTCTCTTTCTCATATTTCTTCTTTGAAGCTTTCTCCACCTTCTCCTCATAATTGTCCTCTCCTCCTCGTCCTCCTCTTCCTCCTCCTCCTCGATACCAAACGCCTTGTCCTCCTCGTCCTCCTCCTCATTTTCCTCCTCTACCGTCTCCCAATCCTCCTCCACATCCTCTTCCTCCTTATGTTTGTCTTCTTCCCCCTCCGCTTCAAAATCAAATGCATTGGCCTCAACTCTTCTCTTCCTCCTCCTCTTCCTTCTCCTTCCCCTCGTCCTCCTCATTCTATGAATCCTCATCCACTTCTTCCTCATGTTTGTCCTCATCATTCTCCTCCTCCTACCCCCTCTCACTTTCAAACTCCTTGTCCTCCTCTTCCTCCTCCTCCTCCTCCTCCTTGTCCTCTTCATCTTCCTTCTCTGAATCCTCCTCCATCTCCTCTTCGGCATGTTGTCCTCCTCCTATTCCGATTCCGCAAAGTTAAACTCATTGTCCTCCTCCTGCTTCTCGTCCCCTCCTTCTTCTTTAAATTATCCTCAAGCTCTCCCTCATGTTTGTCCTCCTCATCAGAATCCTCCTACTATTCGTCCTTCTCCTCCTTCTCTGAATCCTCATTCACCTCTTCCTCCTCCTCCTTCTCCTCCTCCTCCCAATGTTTGTCCTCCTGCTCATCGTCTCCTCCTCCTCCCCCTCCACCACCTCCTCCATCTTCTCCTCCAAACCATATTTGCCCTACTCCTCAAAATTGAGCCCCTTGTTCTCCTCCTCCTCCTCCGCGTCATCTGGTGAATGCCGAGCTCCAGTGGCACCGGCCATAGTTGAGCAACATTCTCCCCCATTTTCCACCGCCTCTTCCTAGCTGTGGAGCGGCGTTCACAACAAGTTTTGTGAATAATGATTCGTAGCGGAAGGTTGCTCGCAAGGTTTGTTGTGGAGTTGCATTCGCAATTAGATTGGGGGGTAACGCCTCGAAGTGGAGAGGAGGGGGCTGAGTGATCAGGAGCCGTAGCAGCAGGAGGAGTAGGAGGAGGAAGAAGAGGAGGGTGAGGAACATGACGAAGGTGAGGGGCAACACCTTACTCACAAAACTAGGTGTGGAGCGGCGTCCACAGCTAGTTTTGCGAGTAATGTTTCGTAGCAGGAGGCTGCTCACAAAACTGGTTGTGGAGCTGCGTTCACAACTAGATTTGCGAGTGACGCCACGAAGCGGAGAGGTGGGGGTAGAGTGAAGAAACGAAGGAGGAGGAAGGGGGGAGGAGCAGGAGGAGTATGAGGAGGAAGAAGAGGAGGGTGAGGAGCATGACGAAGGTGAGGAGCAACACCTTACTCACAAAACTAGGTGTGGAGCGGCGTTCACATTTAGTTTTGCGAGTAATGTCTCTTATCAAGAGGCTGCTCGCAAAACTGGTTGCGGAGCTGCGTTCGCAACTAGATTTGTGAGTGACGCCATGAAGCGGAGAGGTGGGGTTGAGTGAAGAAAAGAAGGAGGAGGAAGGATGGGGAGGAGCAGGAGGAGTAGGAGGAGGAAGAAGAGGAGGGTGAGGAGCATGACGAGGGTGAGGAGGAAGACATCACTCACAAAACTAGGTGTGGAGCGGCGTTCACAGCTAGTTTTGCGAGTAATGTTTCGTAGCAGGAGGCTGCTCGCAGAACTGATTGGGGAGCTGCGTTCACAACTAGATTTGTGAGTGACGCCACGAAGCGGAGAGGTGGGGGTAAAGTGAAGAAAAGAAGGAGGAGGGGGGAGGAGCAGGAGGAGTAGGAGGAGGAAGAAGAGGAGGGTGAGGAGCATGACGAAGGTGAGGAGCAACACCTTACTCACAAAACTAGGTGTGGAGCGGCGTTCACATTTAGATTTGCGAGTAATGTCTCTTATCAGGAGGCTGCTCGCAAAACTGGTTGCGGAGCTGCGTTCGCAACTAGATTTGTGAGTGACGCCATGAAGCGGAGAGGTGGGGTTGAGTGAAGAAAAGAAGGAGGAGGAAGGATGGGGAGGAGCAGGAGGAGTAGGAGGAGGAAGAAGAGGAGGGTGAGGAGCATGACGAGGGTGAGGAGGAAGACATCACTCACAAAACTAGGTGTGGAGCGGCGTTCACAGCTAGTTTTGCGAGTAATGTTTCGTAGCAGGAGGCTGCTCGCAGAACTGATTGGGGAGCTGCGTTCACAACTGACGGGGGGCAGCCGACGGCCAACGCTGCCCTGTTGAAGCTACACGATTTGATTATCATCCTCCTGCTCTTGAAAAAATACCGTTTACCAGATTTTCCAGATTTCCAAGATCTTCCCAGAGATGGCCCTGGTGAAAAACGCTGTGTTTTCCTGATATTCCTGACCTTCCCAGGGATTACCCCTGAGAAAACGCTGCGTTTTCCTGATATTCCTGATATTCCTGACATTTCCAGAGACTACCCAGGCGCCGAGGCCTCCTGGGGCTGCCGAAACATTGCCCTGGTGGAAAACGCTGTGTTTTCCTGATGTTCCTGACCTTCCCAGGGATTACCCCTGAGAAAACGCTGTGTTTTCCTGATATTCCTGATATTCCTGACATTTCTAGAGACTACTCACGGTAGTCTCTGGAAATGTCAGGAATATCAAGAATATCAGGAAAACACAGCGTTTTCTCAGGGGTAATCCCTGGGAAGGTCAGGAATATCAGGAAAACACAACGTTTTTCACCAGGGCAATGTTTCGGCAGCCCCAGGAGGCCTCGGCGCCTGGGTAGTCTCTGGAAATGTCAGGAATATCAGGAATATCAGGAAAACACAGCGTTTTCTCAGGGGTAATCCCTGGGAAGTCAGGAATATCAGGAAAACACAACGTTTTTCACCAGGGCAGTGTTTCGGCAGCCCCAGGAGGCCTCGGCGCCTGGGTAGTCTCTGGAAATGTCAGGAATATCAGGAATATCAGGAAAACACAACGTTTTCTCAGGGGTAGCGTTTTTCACCAGGGCAGTGTTTCGGCAGCCCCAGGAGGCTTCGGGAAGCCCCAGGAAGCGTTTCGGAAGACTCGGGAAGGCCAGGAGGCCTCAGGAAGCCCCAGGAAGCCCCAGGCCCTCCCCCCCCCGGGCGCGCGAGGAAGAGGAGTAGCAAAAAAAGAAATATGTATGATCATGTGGGGGGGGGCTACCATATATATAAATACAGATACATATACACATATAGATGCACACCCATATACATTTACACATCCAAATCCATACACACAAACATGCACATGTATCTACGCATACACCCGCCGCAGTGCTGGGGCTGTGTGTCATAGGCCCCTGGGGTGTTCGTTGGTACCTCCTTGGGAGCCTCGTGGGGGCTGTGTGGGGCTTCTGGGGGCCTCTTTCTGGCCTCGTGGGGCCTCCTGGGGGCGTGTCGCCTCTCCGGGGCCTCCTGGGGGGCTGTGGGGGCGGAAGGCTGGAATTGTGGGTTCGTGCTCCCCCGCTTGGGCTTCTCCTGGGGCCGCTCAGGGGTCCCTCTTAGGCCGTCTTGGGGCTCTCTCGAATCATCTTGGGGCTCCTTAGGTGGCCCCTGACGCCGTCGCGCGGGTTTCTTGGGGGCCTCTTGGGCCTTCTGGGTGCGGTATGGAGCGCCTCGTGAGCCGTCGTGGAGCGTTACGAGCCCGAAAAGGCTTGAACGCAAAAATCCGCCCGAAACCGATGGACAATAAACAAGTTTGGCCTCTCGGGGCACTCGCCGGGGTCTTCTAGGAGCCTTGATGGATCGTCTTCGGGGCCTCGCGGGGCCGTTTGGAAAGCTTGTTGGGCCGCACGAGACTCCTGGAGTCCGTCTTCGAGGTAGCTCGGGGCAGTCTTGGGCCGTCACGACGGCTGTCTGATCGCTCTGGGGGCTGTTTGGCGGCTCCCCAACAGCGGGCCTGGCCCGGAAGCTGTCCGAACAGAGTCGAGCCCCGCCGAAGCTAAAAATTATCCTGGCGAGGGACCCAACCATGTGCAGTTGTGAGTGACGCAGTTGTGGGTATCGACATCGGTGAACCTCTCTGGGGTCACGACGCGTGTGACGGGTGTGCCAAAATTGGCACGGGTACGCCATGTGGACGCTGCCACCAGAGCCGTCGGTGGAACACCCGATGGGGCCGCGGAACGTGCAAGGGGTGCGCCGAAATGGGGGGTGGAACTGCATGCGGACCCTGCCACTGGGGCCTTCGGCGGAGCAGACTATAGGGCCACGAAACTTGTGAAGGGTGTGCCGAAATGGGGGGGTGGGACCGCATGCGAACGCAGCACTGTGGCCTTCGGTGGAGCTCCCTGTGGGGCCACGAACGTGTGAGGGGTGTGTCGAAATGGGGGTGGAACCGCATGCGGGCGCTGCCGCTGGGGCCTTCGGTGGAGCACCCTATGGGGCCACGAAACGTTCGAGGGGTGCGCCAAAATTGAAGTGGATCTGCATGCGGACCCTGCCACTGGGGCCTTCGCCGGAGCACCCTATAGGGCCACGTAACGTGCGAGGGGTTGTGCCGAAATGGGGGTGGAACTGCATGCGGACCCTGCACTGGGGCCTTCGGCGGAGCACCCTATAGGGCCACGAAACATGTGAGAGGTGCGCCGAAATGGAAGTGGAACTGCAAGCGGACTCTGCCACTGGGGCCTTGGGTGGAGCATCCTATGGGGCCGCGAAACGTGTGAGGGTTGTGCCGAAATGGGGGTGGAACTGCATGCGGACCCTGCCACTGGGGCCTGGGTGGAGCACCCTATAGGGCCACGAAACGTGTGAGGGGTGCGCCGAAATGGAAGTGGAACTGCATGCGGACCCTGCCACTGGGGCCTTCGGTGGAGCACCCTATGGGGCCGCGAAACGTGTGAGGGCTGTGCCGAAATGGGTGTGGAACTGCATGCGGACCCTGCCACAGGGGGCCTTCGGTGAAGCAGCATATAGGGCCACGAAACATGTGAGGGGTGCGCCGAAATGGGGGTGGAACTGCATGCGGACCCTGCCACAGGGGGCCTTCGGTGAAGCACCCTATAGGGCCACGAAACATGTGAGGGTGCGCCGAAATGGGGGTGGAACTGCATGCGGACCCTGCTACTGGGGCCTTCGGCGGAGCACCCTATGGGGCCACGAAACGTCCGAGGGGTGTGCTGAAATGGGGGTGGAACTGCATGCGGACCCTACCAGTGGGGCCTTCGGTGGAGCTCCCTATGGGGCCACGAAACGTCCGAGGGGTGCGCCGAAATGGGGGTGGAACTGCATGCGGACCCTGCAATTGGAGCCTTCGGCGGAGCACCCTATAGGGCCACGAAACGTGTGAGGGGTGCGCCGAAATGGAGGTGGAACTGCATGAGGAGCTTGCCTCTGGGGCCTTCGGCGGAGCACCCTATAGGGGCCATGAAACGTGTGAGTGGTGCGCCAAAATGGAGGTGGAACTGCATGCGGACCCTGCCACTGGGGCCTTCGGTGGCGCACCGCATGGGCCACGAAACGTGTGAGAGGTGCGCCGAAATGGAGGTGGAACTGCATGCGGACCCTACCAGTGGGGCCTTCGGTGGAGCTCCCTATGGGGCCACGAAGCGTCCGAGGGGTGCGCCGAAATGGGGGTGGAACTGCATGCGGACCCTGCAATTGGAGCCTTCGGCGGAGCACCCTATAGGGCCACGAAACGTGTGAGGGGTGCGCCGAAATGGAGGTGGAACTGCATGCGGACCCTGCCACTGGAGCCTTCGGCGGAGCACCGTATGGGGCCACGAAACGCTGTACTAGGTGGGTGAAACGCAGGGAGAAGGGAGAAGGGGGAGGAGGGAGGGGGCAGCGGGAGGAAGGTGGGAACGCGGGGCGCTGTCTCTTCAAAACGAGGACCCAACACCACAGGATGGTTGGGAACAAATCCTTGGGGGGGGGGGGGAAATTGGGCGGGCCCAAGGTCCAGGGACCCGGATCCCCGTTACATGATACAAATGTTGCAGGTCGTGCAAGAAAATCGTCCGAACGACTTACTTTTTCATACTGGGTCCCCGCTTCTGACTGCTCCGCGGCCCGAAAACCGACCGCTGCATGCCAAAAACTTCAGAAAGCCGAAGGCGGCAAAAACCAGCCATTAAACAAGTCGCATTGCTTTTCCAGTGCAGCGTATGGCCAACAATGCAGGAGCGGCCGACCTGTCGATAGCGAAACGGGCGCCGAGCCATGCTCGAGGCAGCGGGCAAGAGCTCTGCGCAGAAAACAAACAAACAAACAGACGGCCCAAACAGAAGCTAACACAACAACAAGAGGACGAGCGAGGAGTTGAGCAACAAATCGAACAACCCAACGCCGCAAATACGAACGCAACATGTTCGGACATCTCCTGGGAACGAGACGGGCGGGAGGGAGGGGACGGGAGTGGGAGGGATGGAGGAAAAGAGGGGGAGTGAAGGAGGAAGAAAGGGGAGGGGATGGGAGGGAGGGAGGCCAGGGCAGGCGGTGCTCACTGGCTGTGCACCTCGGGATGTCCGTGCCGAGACGATAGAGGGAGGGAGTGCTGAGCCGAGGCGCAATCCTTGGTCATGGTGTCCGCCCAGCGGATGGCAGGGCAGCAGAAGGCGAGGAAGCAGATCGGCCAGTCCTGGCGCCGCCCCTGCTCCCTTCCGTGCCGTTCGCTGCCGAAGCGTTGTTCGTGTCCGACCCTACCCGCTTCGGACCTGCATGCGTGACCACATCCACCTCTTGAAACTCGATCTTCCAGCGGCCCCAACAAGTGAACGTGATAACTGTTCCTCCTCCTGGGGCGGAGACTGCTACCACCAGCACGCCCTGAAACCGTCCGGGGATAGCTTCTTTAGGAGGTGGGACTGGCAAACGTCCCTTCCCCACGCTGGCTCCTGGCCCTACGACGGCGGCGGAACGCACGAGCGACAGCACCACTGGCCGCACGATGGCGGCCAAAACGACTATGCGCTCCTGGCGCCAACGACTGCCCCTGACCCTACGGTGGTGGCCCGAGCAAAAAGAAGAACGAGGACCACGCCGCAAGAAAGTTGAGTGGCTCGGACCCCCTGACGCCAATGCTCCACTGAAGGAGGAGGAGGAGGAGGAGGGTTCAGGGTATGCAAGGTGGCCCCTTCCCATCACCACCTACGGTCTGCATTGTCCCCTATTGCTTTGCCAGCCTGCCCACGTCCTCCTCTTCCTTTCTCTGGATGCCTCCCTCCACTTCCCTTCCGTCCCCTCCCCCCACCATCATCAGAATGTCCGCCCTCCCCTCCCCTACGTACCACCCCCCCCCCATCCATCACCCGTTTTCTTCCACTCTTGCGTTCCCATATGGGGCCCGCGTTCCCTGCGGGGACCCTCGGGGTGGCGGGGGTGAATCTGGCGCGGCCTGAGCGCCCCTGCGAAGCCGATCGCTCTCGTGCGGGGGCCCTCGACCCAAGACGCAGGCGGGAACAGAGATGGAAGGGACCGGCGCCAGTCGAGAGAGCATGCGGGACAAGGGGGGAGCAACGCGGCAGACGAGGAAGCAGAAGGGAAGACGATCGCGACGACGGCCAGAGGACACGAAGACGGGGACGACAGACGACAGACGTCAGACGGAAGACGACAGACGCGGGGAGGGAGAGGCGCACGAGGACAGACACAAACAGCCACAGGAAAGAGACGGGTAACGACGGCGGGGGGCCCGAGAGCGTCGTTTGGACGCCGAATTAATATCCGAATGTTCTTTCTTATGAGGGAAGGCTCAAAGGTTGAAAAATAATAGAAATAACCATAGCAATAACAATAAGAATGACGAGACTAATCATCAGCAGCAGAAGAACTGTGTATGAAAACGATGCCATGGATGACGATGATGATGATGATGATGATGATGATGAAATTTTTATACATGAACCAGGAAGGTGCCCGCGGCGCAGCTAATCTAACACAGCGCCCGATTGTATCCGTCATCGGAGCCATACGCTGACATGTAAACGGCGGCAGCCGAGCGCAGTGGCTGGACAGGGGCAAAGTACTACAGCAGCACGAGCGCATCATATGGCACTCGCTTGCAAACGGGAGCGGCAGCTCCCGCGAGGGGATTGCCCTGCCGCTTGGCGGCGAGACCCGTCATGCGACAAGCTGCGCGAGACCTGTGCAGCCTCACCCTGCACAGCTCTCCGCCGTAGGCGTCATTACATACCTTCTAATCACTAGGTCGCAAAAAGCACGGGCCCACGCCGCCAGCGCGAAATACGCGGAATGCATGTTTCTGTCTAGACAGCAGGACAATCATGAGCGTGCCACGGCGGTTCGTGCATCTCGGCACTTCTGGCGCACTACGTATTCCAATTCCTGGCAGACGTTGCCACTGTTGCACATAGGGGCCGCGTCGCCGAGCTCTGGGCGACTGCTGACTCCCATGGGGCCCAACTCGTGATCACCACGTCCATAGACGTAGCTATCAACACATGCCTCCCGATATGCGGTCAGCGTTGCGCCAGCATTGGCGTCGCATCTCTTCCATCTGGCGTGGCAGATACACATCCTGACCAAGTTCTCTCATATCATGAGGTGGCGCTGGTCCGTGCGCGGTGGCTGATGGCGGGCGTCGGCGGGGGCGCGCGGCGGGTGCGCGAGCATCATTGGCGGAGGATTCGTGGCACGACGAATCATGTACTGTTCGTCGGTGCCACACTTCCTGGTGCGAGCGATATGCTGGGCATCCGTCCCCCTCTGCACATCGGCCCTTTCGGCGCAGGGGATGCGACGCAGATTTTTGCGGTGCTGGACGTACTTGACGGTGTGCAAAAGCTTTCTATTTCCCCAATTCCAGAGGTCCCACTGGCAATCTCACGCGACGCGCCAGCCCGCCCCTCACTGTCTGCAGCTCCGATCGACAAGAAGCTCCGGTTGCGAATGCGACGCTGCCTGGTTCTCCACTTCCCAGGGGTGCCCGGACTCATCGCCACGCGCCGCAGGCGGTGCCGGCGCTTAGGTTACACGCGATGAGACCTCGACGCGCGGCGCTCCGCAAGGCCCAGATAGGCGATGCCTAAAGCACGGGATAGCATGTGCGCAGGTCCGCTTGCTCGCGCAAATACCATCCCCCAGCTCTGGACGGTCGCGACTCCTGATGCGAGTTCAATCGCGGCCGAGCATTTTCATAGCCCCAATCGTTTTCGGCGCCAACAACCTTGGGAATGAGCTGATTTTCTCGTGCATTGTGCTAGTCGTCTGCATGCCCGCGACCTTTTTTCAACAAGCGCGGGCGCTGTTCCGCGCGTGAATGACTTCGCCCCCTGCAACCGGACGCACGGCGATCTGGGAGCCAACGCGCGCGAGGGCGCGACATCGCAGAGGGCATCCCCATTCTCTCCGATGCCCCAGAAGTATCAGCAGCCACTCCCGCCGTTGACTCATCGAGGCGAAGGCCGTGGCGCGAGATGGCGACGTCCCCGGCTAGCTGCTCCTCCAGCTGCGCCAAATCCGCAACCATCGGTCGAAATGCACCCCCGCTACAGGTCGCGCGCCTCGCGCGAGGTCGCCCCGAAGACGAAGCACTCCATCTATTTCGTTATCTCGTCATTGACAGCCGCGCACATTCTCCCAGTTTGCGATGACGCTCGGGCGCGGTCAGCGTTTGTCCCCGCGGCCCGGGGCGCGACGGCGCTGTCGGGCATCGGCGACATGGGCCCAGTCTGAGAGCATGGATTGTCCAACCCATTCCTCGAACGGGGATTCGGCGCTGCTGGCGCCGCGCATCTCAAATCAATGAGACGACTGCGCGCGGGGCGCGCGCATCGGCATCTCGAGGAAGATGCAGCCCTCGCGTCTTGGCGCCCCCGTGCGCGACGCAGAATAAAGCGCGACGTACTTCCTGCCCTGCAACCTCGCCGAAGGCATCCAGCAAATCGGCCGCTGACGCCCGTTCGCATGAGTAACTGCAAAGTGAATTATCGTTACACAGCACGAACAGCAAGTCGATCACAGGACCCGCTCGCAGTCCCCGAAGTCGAACATAAGCACATGTCGCCAACATCACATGGTACCCGGCGCGGACAGTAGCGTCCTTGATGCAGTTCCGAGGCAGCCTCTCTCGGGGCCTCGACAGGTTGGGAACTGATCTCTTCGCCCTCGGGCGACGGCGGCTCATGCTTTCCAGCCGAGTAATCGTCGACGAGGTCGATCATCGGCGGGGTCGTCTTGCGCGTCCGCGCCGCCGCAAGGCCAGGTCCTGACTTCGACTCTATCGGCGCAGCGCGGATGCCCTTCGGCGGCGGACTGGGCGGCGTGGCCGGCGGCGACGGCGCCGCATTGAAAAACATAGAAAACGCTGCGCCGTCGCCAGTCTCTCCCAGCGGCCGCGGTGGGGGCGGCGCCGTCGCCGCTGACCTTCCCGCCGGCGGCAAGGGACGAGCCGCCCCCCCTCGCTCTGGCCGTCCGCAATTTGCCTACATCTCTACTCTGCAGGATGTCTAGCGGCGTGTCGATCGCACGTTCATTCGTCAACTTCCCACGCTGTTCATGACTTCCAACATCGCCAAGGCCGTCAAGAACTTCGCGGATTGATCGGGGCATTCCGCGTGCACTTCGGAGAGGGCCACCGACAGCGAGCGCGCATAACTGGCAGTTTTTTTCAATCGTTGGCCGAATCAGTCTGATCCCCCTTGTCCAATCGCGGGGCACGTCTGGCCCCTTTCAATCGAGCCAGATCTTCTCACGGTTCGGACCGATGGCACACGTTGCATATCGGGCATGGTCTGTCAAGTATTGGGGAACTCAAAGATTGATCGACGTATTCTCGCCATTGGCGAGGCGGTCATAGTCTCCAGAAAAACAGATCCACAAACGACAATGGTCTGCGGCTTCCCGCCACCAAAGCCGTAGACGGCCGCGATCCGATTATTGGGATTCTCCAGCCATCTGGTCAATCTGGCCACGCAGCTGCAGCAATCCTGTCGTCCTCTGGTGCCCCCATGTCTCTCGCAGCCTCTTCTAAGAATTGGGACCGGAGCGCCCAGCTTGAAACAATCGCCGGTCAGCGTTTGACTTTCACTAAGACATTTCTTCGCTGCCTTCCCGAATCGCTGGCCACTCTGCGCAGGCCTTCCGCGTGTGTCGTTTCCATCGCAGATTTGTCGTCACCGCCACAGTTTGCGGCTCTGCGCAAACTGATTCAACCGTTGAGAAATCGTGATTCTTCGAACTGGGGGGCATCGAATCCACCGCGCCGCCCTGTTGGTCACCTGAAATCGGCACTACTGCAAGCAACGGCTTGAGCGAGTTACGAACTGCATTTTTTTTCGCTGCCGCGCCGGCGTTGGGGTCGAGGAGAAGCCCTCGAATAGTAAAAGTATTGGGCATCTACCTCGTGATCCTCGTGGACTCATTCGCATTGAATGCCCAGTCGGTATCCATCCTCAAAAACGTCGGGGTATCTTGGTCCGTCTTCAACTGATGCCAAAGCGGATATCGTTTCTCCAGTAGATTCCTGGGCGGTTCCAAACTTGATCAGACTGTGGCTGCAGAACTCACAATGGACGAAGAGCGACATGGCCACTGTCCGTGCCAAGCATCCTTCGCAATGCTTTCACACTGTTGCTACCTAGACCCTGAACTAAAGTAAGAAGAGCCAGTGGTAGTTCC